AAAAAAAAAAAAAAAACCAGAGTACGTCACTTTTAATTTTCAGCAAACTAACTTATATGCAAAAACTATTTAGAAAAAAAGTGACTGAAAATGTCACTTTCAAGGTTTAGCATCTAATTCATATGCAAAATACAAATAAAATATTACATCATGTCACTTCTTAATGAAAATAAGATTTCAATTTACATTCATATTTAAATTTTTACACACACATATCCATCTATTTAATTGATCATAAAATAGACGATGATATTTTTAGAAAAAAGTAACAAAGAATGTCCATTTTCTGACATTCATTTTCGCAAATACCTTGCATGCATTGTTATGCCTTCTGGCTCCAACTCCAGATCATCACCAATGTGACGGCTAGCTAAGCGAATTAGCAAGGCCTACACTCCTTCCACGTTACTTCTATTAGCCGAGGAGACATTTCGCCTTATCCAAGGCCCCACAACGAATCAATTCTGGCCAAGGTTAGCTCGGAATTGAAGCGTCGCCTTGACCGCTCCAAAGAAACTTGAGATCTTTACTAAACAATCTTAATGATTGATTGAGTTGGCGTTAAGCTCAAGTAATCAGCCCACATTTCAGAGTATTAAATGTTGCATGAAATGCACATCAACCTATGATAAACGAATTGATGCCTAGGAGGATATATAGTGCGCCCTACCTTTAGATGGAGCTACTTGTCTTCTTATCCTACCGTTAGTACTTAATTTCAACCACTATATAAACTAACACTTAATGCTATTCTAAGAATAGTGCTACTTCAACTACTAGAAATATATTTTCACTATCCATATCATGGTTGTTCTAAAACCTTATCATCTGACTTGATTGTCGAAGTGCTTGCGATCGCTTTTACCATCACCGGAAAAGGCTATTGGTGACTAACTTTATGTTCAAGTGGAAGCTTATTCTGCTCCAAATTGTTCATTATGAACGTTGATTTTACAATCTATGCAAAGAGAACAATAAATGAGCTTCAAATGGCAGATTTGAGGAATTGATTGAACAAAAAATTCGCAATCGGAGCCCATAATCTTGTTTATATTTAATTTGTGCAAGATTTCCTCTTTTTTCTTCATTTTGGAATGGTTGAAAAATTTCTTGCTGTTGTTTAGTTTTGCAGCTTAACAATTATGTTGTGTATTAAGTATTTGTCTTTTAACCCAAGTTTGTCATATTTTTAAAAGTGACCCCAAAAGTGAGGGTATCGTGTAAGTACCCCAAATTAGATTGTGTTTGGTCAAAGCACCTAGCTTAACCATTGCCAAAAGGGTCAGTTATTGTTGATGGAAAATTGGACCTACTGGACATGGTAAAAAGCGGCCCATTTGGACAGTGGTTTAGTGGGCTGTTTGTCCTTTAGGACCCAACTCATTACTCAGCCTTCATCCCCTTATACTCATGATATTAGGCTGGAAAGTGGAAAAGGTAGTTTTACCGTAAAGGACAGCCCAGGGACTGATTTGAAGCACATATAAATTTCAGAGATTGATTGATTTGATCAACACCAATAATCCGAGGACCAATTTGTATCCTCTAGAAACTTCAAGGACCGATTTACATATTAGTAATAACTCAATGACTCTTTTCAGCAATTGCTGCTGTAAAAATTGATGCATTGAAACAACTCGCAATTAAAGGTCGATTACTCCAAAATTTTGAAGTCAATTTGATATAGTTCGGATCTTATTTGTAGATTGGCTGGTTCAGGCTTGCCACGGTCTTGAAAATGACCTACATGCACACGAGTCATTCGAGTCATCCAACCCATCTTGACACCTTTACGTCTGAACAACAATGAAAATTCGAGGTTTAGAATGCTCTATTGTGAGAGTTATAGACTAAGATGCAACAAGGACCCTCTGCTACTATTTTCTCATAAATAAATGAATAGAATCGGCATTACAGCAGGGAAAAAGTCCAATAATCATACAGTTGACGGTCAATTTTCGCTAACATCACGACATACATCAATACGACGTCGACATCCGAAACAATCGTGTACCGGTGAAATTTTCCCGATTCGACACACGGCATCCAATCCGAAACCGTACAGTTCAAAGGTTCCTGTTACACAACGAATCGACACGAAACTTCTTGTTACGGCTCCAGTTTGAAGCTTTGTTCTTGAAATTCGCATCCCGATTTGGGTTGAATGAGCGAAAATTGAACTTCTTTTGATCTCGTTGGATTGTGTTGTAATGCTATACAGCGTTATAGTTCATACACACTGGTGTATGTAGTGTTTACTTTAGAGAAGAAAGATAAAGGGGGGAGTTATGGGGGCGTCGGATAATACGAGAGGGCTTATACTGGCAATTGTGTCGAGTTTGTTTATTGGAGCGAGCTTTATATTGAAAAAGAAAGGACTCAGGCGTGCTGCTGCTGCTGGTACTCGTGCAGGTGGGGAATATTCGATCTATATGTCACTTTTTTTTTCGTTGTTTTCTAGTGTTTTGAGTAGTTAGGTAGATCTCTGCTTCATTGAGTCGATATTTGTGAAATGCTTTTGAGGGGAAAAACTGATTGTCTCACGGGCTTTATTAGACTCTGATCGATGTTTAGTTTTCGAACAATTTCAATCTGTCTTTCATGCCTTTAGGAATTATTGTACCAAACTATCAAACAAATAATGATTAATCCAAGCATTCTGATTTGGAATGTTGATGCTATAGTACTATCAGTTGAGTTGGTATGGTGAGAAAATGGAATAAATCATTGATGATTTTAGTATATTGGGACAAAATTACTGCTATCGAGGTCAATCTATGAAGATGAGTGGCTGAGAATTTTAATTTCTGGACTTCATGTTGTGATTTTATATTTTAGGATTTAAGGACGCTATTGAGCTCCAAATGAGCAACTGCAGTGATAGATTATGCCTGTCAATTATGAGAGGTTACCCTCACCAATGCAAATAATCTTATTTTTGTGCAATTGATGAATGCTTAAATATGAGCTTTGGTTGGCGAAGTTTTATTGTATTTGAAAGTTATGTTTCAATGGAGTGTTTGTGCTGGTGTTTCAAAAGTTCATTTGGGACTGAAGTTTTGACTTCTAAGAACAGAACAAAATCCAAGGATGAACAAGCCACTGTAATCTAGTAGCCTATTAGCCTTTATACACAACCTCCATTTCTTATGTTAAAAGAAAGGTAGAAAGAGAACGTACTTGTGTATTTCAATAAATCTGAAATGTCTTTCTATTTTCCTCAAAGTTATTCGATTCACACACACACACACATATTTATTCCTTTTGAGTATTTTATGCTATTAATGCTGCAGGTTTTGGAGGCTACACTTATCTACTAGAACCTCTTTGGTGGACTGGCATGATTACAAGTAAGTTGTGGATATGTAAATAATGTTTGTTCCTTTCCGATCACCAGCACATGAATTCAGTCCGACGTTGTATCAACAACTGGCTAATTGCCATTTGCATGCAGTGATTGTTGGAGAAGTAGCAAATTTTGTAGCTTATATTTATGCTCCAGCTGTTCTTGTGACCCCTCTTGGTGCGTTGAGTATAATTGTTAGGTATGTTCTTCGACTTCAATTGAGCGTAATAACTATGCTTTGATAATGCACAACTAACCTTTTTCATGAATCTGATAGTGCTATTCTGGCACACTTTATGTTGAAAGAGAGGCTGCGACAGATGGGTATACTGGGATGTGTGTCTTGCATTGTAGGATCGGTAGTAATTGTAATTCATGCACCTCAGGAACAAATGCCAACTTCAGTACAAGAAATCTGGATTTTGGCTACTCAACCAGGTTGCCACCTCTTTCTTCTGCATTTTATTTTATTTTTCAAATTTTGTGACCATAAATGATATTTTTGTTGGACCACAGCTCATTTCTTCTGTCTACAGCATTTCTGATTTACGTAGCAGCTACAGTGTCAATAGTTTTAGCTCTGATTCTGCATTTTGAGCCTCTTTATGGGCAGACAAACATACTGGTTTACTTAGGAATTTGTTCCCTAGTGGGTGCTCTAACGGTAATTGCATCTCTTATGTCCTATTATGAGATTTTAAGGTGACATGCATATATATAGTATTTTACGGAGAACTTCTGTCTCATACTTGCTTTGTATTTTTCTTGTTACCATGTAGGTCGTCAGTATAAAGGCTATTGGTATTGCAATAAAGCTTACTTTGGAGGGCATCAATCAAATTGGATATCCCCAGACTTGGTTTTTCTTTTCAGTTGCAGTGATCTGTGTGATCGCACAGTTAAATTATCTCAACAAGGTAGTCATATTTTATTAAGAATCATGGTAAATTTTTGGTTTTTTTAGGTGCTGGATTAAGAAAATGTTTGCCCCTCTATTATTGTCTCTGACCAAAATATTTACCTTTTAATGTGCATATTGTGCTTATATATTTGAATATTCACGTTTCATAAATGAATCTACTCGCATTACTGATTCATTGTTGCAGCATGAATGATGCCCTTGATTCTCTGTGAAATGAGTTTGTGTGGTGCCTATCTGGCGTGGTTGGTAATGCAAATATCATTGTGACGTATTGTAGAGAC